TGTGTCAACATAACAATATAACTATATAAACTTTTCATGTTATAACATCATAGTGATCAATTTTTTATTTCTTTGGCATAGCAGCAATGTGTTGCCATAAGAAAGCATTTGCAGTATTAGTTTAGTTTTAGTTTAAATTCCACAACTGAGAAAAGTTATTTAAAATTTCTGAATATTTTGCTTCTATGTGCTCTTCTTATTTAATTCATACATATTTAGAATTTTTGCAATTTCTATTCAGTAAGAAAATGTGAGAAATTTGCAATTCTTAAAATCTAAAGAATAAAAGATTGTTTTTTCCTTGAAAATCTTTAAATGCACTTAACTTGTCATTGGACTAAAAAAACAGTTTGATATTCAACCTGCTCAGCCTGCTCCTTGAGTTTTGACACTATACGTGGAAATGGGACTACAAGAGCATTTCAACATTGTATTAATCAGCTCTCTAAAGCATCCTCTTTATTTTAGCCAATCAACAGCACTGCCCCATTCGCCCCCATAGATCACATTTGGGCTGATTGCTTGATTGATGCCCGATTTGTGCTGATAACCCCCTCATAAAGAGGCAGACCCAGTCCTTGACACATTCCCAGGAGTTTAGGACAGAAATTTCTCTCATTGTAATACCACATTCATTCTTAGTTTCACAAATCATCTTAAACAACCATAAACCATGAACTCTTATTAAACACTTATTTGAACATAACCTACTTGTTTTAACCCTAAACTACGTTGTAGAATTGACATTGCTTAGTTAATTTGTGGCACCTCAACAGCCTTACTTGAGTGAAAAGCCAACAGTTTAGCCTGGTTTTTCTAAATCATAGCTGATTTGTTTAAGTATCTGAAGTGAAATTAAATGGTAGTTCAGTGTGAGTTGAGTTGCATCTTTATAAGGCAGCAAACAGCCTTACCTTTATTCACATAAAGTGTCAATCAATCCAAGATGCAACCGTATCAGTAGGATGTACGGCCTTTAACTTTCATACACTTTGCATTAACAAAGATCTAGTTAACTGATGGGCCAACAGGACATGCAATAGATCAGAGTGAGAGGGCCTTTTACAAACACTACCACGCTGTTGCACTTACAGTATACACTGTTTTCCCAATGATGATCATCTGGATTTTGAAGAAGTGACTATCTACCAGCAAAGGTCATATTTTTCGTATGAGCATTCATACTAAGAATATATGCAAAATATTTGTATTTTCTGGCACATGAAGTATGATTGTGGTTTTCAGGGTTGTGTTTAGGAAACTCAAACTACTGATAAACATCATGTTTATGGTAAGTTCAGTATAGTTAAAGTGTGGTTAAGGTTAGGAAACTACGTTTAAAACTAATATCAGGTCAACACTGACCTAAAGCAGGACTGCGGATGCAAATTTTGGCCTCTGATATTGAAGATACATGCTTTTTACAGCACATCCTCCTCCTTATTACTTCCTGTGCAAAATAAACACTTCTCACTGTTTCCTGAATTGCAACATTGCGGGGAATACAAATTACAAAAAAGTATAGCATTATAGTGCATCAGGGGGGATTCTGTGAGACAAAATCATTGTTTGTGTAAGAATTATGTAAAAGACAGCAGTATATGAGGAAGGGTGTAATTATACGTGTATCTGAACAAAAACCTGTGAAAAATGAAAGTGTGTGACAAATAGTAGCATGGGATACGTAGCCACTTGTGAGTACATCAATGTCACGTAGATACTTGTCATTCACAATTATCCTCTCATACTATGGTAGAGCCTATACTCTGTATGAGTATAAGTGTGTGTCAGAGAAAATAGTGTACATGTTGTAGTTTGTGACTGCACACAGGAAGGCATAGTAGTGTGAAGGAGGCTATAGTGTAACATTATGTAACAATATAATGTGTGAGAACAAGTACAATTATGACCTAAATGGCCTCTCATACCGTACAGTACTTCTTCCCACTTATCAAAACGACCAATAATGCATGTGGTCAGGAACAGAAGACACCCACAAACACAGTAAACCACAAAAGCTTGAAATATTGCTTAGTCTATGTGGGCCCAGAGGACTAAACCATCTTCATTAGCTGACAGTTCCCCTGGCAGCTATTTGACATCCCAATAGGACCACAGTGGCCATATATTCCTTACAGAGATAATCACCCTTAAGTGCCCCATAACCCACACTACAATCCTACAATTCTTACCTTTTATCAAACTGCATTCACTATTGTGAGACCCAACAACAGTATCAATGTATAAATGCCACTCCCTGACAACTTCTATTTTCATTGTGAGGTGATTGTAAGTCATTTCAAAGTGAGTCCTCGGTAAATTCAGGCTGAGGCAGTTTCTTTCTTTCCCCGAGGCTAAAACATCAATAGTGGAGGGAGAAGCCAGGACAACCTATAGCACAGGACAGATCGATAACTCAACAAACTCAGTAAAGATTGACTGGAGAGTTGCCTGGAAACGTCCTGCTTGAGATTTATGATGGGAGGAGGACACGAGCCAACATGAGAAGCTAGAGGACAAGAGAGAGTGATTTGGAATCAGAGGAATTCTCATTTTTTAGCATTTCAGGGTCAAAGTAAACCCTCACCAATATCTTAAAAAATATATATCAATTGTAAATAGGCTACCTATGAATAGCATAAATATATATTTTCCTTGCAACTGTGTGCAATTTTCCATGAAGAATAAAACAATGTTAATCCAATACTGTGTTAATCTGAGAACCATTCAATTTCATTACCCTGTATTCTAGTTAACTTCCATTTTCATTTCTAAAATAAGACATTCCCGTTGACAAAACAGGAAAAAGAAACATACTGAGACAGACAGTATAAATATTTGGCATTCCAATGGGAAAATGATTAAATTAGTGACAAGATTAAATGAGAAGATATCAGATTTCATTGCTCCTCCTTTACCATATGTCACCCTGCTCGAGCACGCTCTGACTGGGTGCCGTGGTCTTCCTGGACTGATTGAATATCCTTATCTGGCCCTAGGACCCACTTTTCTCTGGTGAAATGAAACAAAGACTAGTTGGAAAAGCAGCACATTTATATTCCCCCACAGACCAAATGTTGCACACACACATATATACCTACTTTACTCTACTGCACCGTACATAATCCTGTTTTTGGGTGGGTGAACCATCTCCAGACCCCAAACTGTAGTGTACTACAGTCAAGAGTAGCTGTCTTTCATGCTGGTCTATTATGTCTCACATTATAAAAGTTAGGGGAATTGTGCTAACAGCCTCCAGCTGTGATTTTTTTTCTTTGGTTATGAAATTAAGTGCTGCAGTTTTCTAATGCCCCCTGGGCCCTTTAGTGTAAATTGATTCTATTTTAAAAAGCCTTTTTTTCAGTCTGACAGAAAAGAAGAGGTGGCTGGGGAGTGGAAACGAGTGATCGAAAATGGACTCTCAAAGAAAGATAAGGGAGAGATGGAAGGCAGCTTTGTTCGTGAAAGGGTTAAAGAGAGAATAGCAGTAACGAAAGAGGAAGTGCGCAGGCTGTGGTGGTGTTCCATTAAGGGGTTAACAGTCGGAGGGAAGCCAATAATGGAGGCTGGAGCAGCTGTATAGGAACTACAGCACACAGAGTGCTACACACATCAACCACTAACATAAACCAGAGAAAAACAGAGGCAGAGTGAGTGAGGGAGGAGGCGAGGTGCTACATTTTTCTTATGTCAGCATGTCAGCATCGTGTGAACACCAAATAGGTTCAATAAAAATAGTATTCATATGTTGTTATAAAAAAATCTCTGCTTTTTTTATGGACTGCAAACACATGCACATGTTCGCACCCATTAATGCGTTTGGTAGGCTGCGTTCACTCTCTTTGTAAACACGGCTGCAGATGTATAATTAAGCGTGGAGCCCCGATGCTGTGACTCAAACAGGAAATCGCTCTTGGTGAAAACGACAGTACAGTGATACAGTAGAGGATTCCTGAAGAACAGGGTCTTCCACACAAGGGCGCCGTATTCATTTCAGAAGTTGGAGGGGGGGCAGTTACTAGCTGTTCTACAGCCGCAAATCTGCATTTTTCACAGAAGTCTCACTTACTGGTTTTGCAAAAAATTAAACATTCCTTTTTTGAACAGTGTAGGTGTCTCCTTTCTGTCTGTAATTAAGTTTGGTTAGGTTAACGGTTCAAACACAACAACGTAACACACAGCATTGAAACTATTTAATTGGTTGCAACGTAAACTGTATGCATTTGATTTTTCCTCTTTAATTGGATTAAAACGTAAATATTCTTCCCATTTTATGTTTGCCTGCTTTATTTTACCGAATGTAAAGTGGACGTGAATGACTGAAACGTCTTTTTACCGTAAGTGTTGCAATATAGGATCATTTGCTATAAGGTCAAGGACATGAAGTGGTGGGCCACTGCCCCCTTGGATCCACTTGTTCCAGCGCCCCTTTCTTCCACATTACTAGAAGCTGCAACAGAGTTAATGTGACCTTTACCATCTGAAGACAAGACTGTGGCATCCACATGATAATGATATACTAACGCTATCCTCCCACTCACTCACTCGCTTGCTCTGTCTCTTTCCCTTACACATAAACACAGGTACAAAACAACAGGCAAATGGACACAAATACACTAAACACATTTGGCAGAACACACACACACACACACACACATACCAAGAAAATGCCCCCATGGAACAGATGTTTTTCCGCAGCTTACATTGCCGGTAAGCAACCGCAGCGGACCTTCAACACATCACACTGTTGCTGTGTATACATGATAGCTGTTTTATATTCTATTAACTCATCTTCTGTTTCAATTTCTAAAGCCTGTGTGTTGGAGAACAGCCATTATGGCTGGCGATGGCAAAGCACACATATGCACAGTAATTTGTATATATTAGACACGCAAACACTACACACACATACACAGAGGCTTCCTGATTAAAGGCTGGGCTAAATTGTAATTCCCATAGAAACATCTTTTGTTTGTATAAATGAAACAAGTTGTACTCACATTTTCTATAAACAGCTAAAGGCAGAGTGGATCTGACTAGATGCGGATCAGCTCAGTGGCCAGAGGAGGCTCTGATTGAGTTTTACAGGGGAACAGTTGTGTATCATGTGCTGTAAATGAAGTAGTACGGCAGCTCAGGGGATCAGCAGTCAAACTCTGACCTGAGGACATAAGGACCTGATGAGAAAAAAAAAGCGTATTCAATGAGAACGCACAGGCAGAGCAGCTCATGAATATATACACACACATATTCATATAAACACGACGAGCACACACGCTGCCACACAAAGCAAACACTCTCTGTATGGAATTTCACAATGGCGAAGAAGCTTTCCAAACTTGCATTTTCAAGGGCAGGCTGCAAGCGAAGCGTTAGTCGATTGTGTGAGCAAAGTATGATGAAATCACACATCTCTCACATCCGTTACTGCACTCTGCACTCCTACCAAACACTGTGTTTAACAAACATTTGAAAACAGCCAGCAGGCAATATTGAAATGACTCAATGAGCTCACACGTCAGCAATATCATAAGATATGTGGAAAGACGCACACACACCTGCACCATCAAACACACAAACATATAGCCATCATTGCATGTCTGAATCTCCGGCATTGTAATGAATAACAAATATCTGCTTACAGCTGCATTACTCATAGTCTCATACTCTTTTGTGTCGTGATCATGCCCTAACGCAGGAACAGCCTCAGATCAATAACCTAATTAGCCATAAAGCATATGCATTGTGGTGATACATTATATGCCTGGCATCCCTTGGCTAGCATCTCACAGGAATTACCATATAAATGAACTGCGGTCATTTATTAAGCAAAAAGCCATGGTGGGGACTTGGCATGCTATGGAGTAGAGAGAGAAAAAAATAAATTGTAAGTTACAACACACATTAGAAAACAGAAACATCATTAGAGGTCGAACAGTCAAGTTACAAATTGCACTGACTGCTGGCAGAGCGAAAACATCTGCCATGCTGTGACTCTACCCGTGGAGTAAGTAAGCAGCGAGGCTCACCGCGACCGAGGAAACCCCCAACACGCTTTCTTTTCACTCTTTGTATTCAACTGGACTGCAAGTAATTCAATACACTTCTCCTTGTGCAGGCTCACTCAAATGAAACGCAAAGCGAATGAACTATATCAAGTGGAGCAGCATTTGAACCACTTACAGTAATATCAGTGTTTGTGTGGGCTACCCTACAGTGTGTGCGTGTGTGTGTGTGTGTTTGTGACATGGACATGTGTGCAAGTCCGTACTGTATGTGTGTGTTTCGCGTGTGTTAAAAAGGCAAGTGTGAAATGATTCGTAAAGCCAAAAGATAGTCTTGTTCTGCACATGATTCCTTGACCAAACTCAATACCCTCGAGATAGACTGCTACACAATACCAGGCTGATCTCTCCATAGCAACACACATGGAAACACAAATCTATTTCAGAGCAGGAGCACAGCACAGCACTTAAACACAGCGGACAAAAAAAAGAAATAGGGAAAACAGCAATCAATTATTAAAAGAGCTTCATGTTCATACTTACTGCCTGTGTGTTGCCAGCTGCAGCCGAAACTAAGAGGCTCCCACAGCTCAGACCTACCTCTCTTCATGCAATTGTTAGCGTTATCAGAGATCTACAGCAGCGCCACTCCTTCGTCATATACAGAGGATGTTGAACTAGGATCTGCCCCTTGTGTGACATTTATTTTTTTTTCTGCAGCGTGTGTTTACTTTAAAGGTGTTGGCTGCCCTCACAGACTTGAACGCAGAAGGCAGTGGAAACATAGACGCCTAATGAGAGAGAAACAAACGCAGGCCCCTGTAACAACAGCGGAGAGATGACCGATAGAGAAAGTTTAAATCAACATAATGTTTCTCCTGGCATAAGCCTGCTAGTAAATCATATCACTGTAAGCAGATCTGTCGACATCAATTGTTCCAGGCTCAAGTATTCCACGTTACCTCAGCGTTATTACAAAGCCAACACAAACGCACAACTGATAAGATAAAGTACTTTTTTAAAGAGAGCCGGCAGGCCAATTACATCAACATTTTCCTTAATTTAGACAGGAGGGAAGCTAAGAAAACACGTGTTCTGGTAGCATTCGCTTAGAGTAAATGATCTTAGTTATGAGGGAAAAAATGAAATAGAAAATAAGACACTTTAAATGAGTGAAAGAAGTGAAACAGTCAAAACAATTTTTGTTTAAAAGTAATAAGAAAGGTTGTTGTGTCTTTCTTAAATTGAAAATACCTCCATATTATTATCATGTTGCTGTTCTGTTTCTGTGGAACAAAATCATCGACTTTCTACGAGCACACAAACCACCACTAAACACGACCCCACTAAATCCTCCAGACAGCGTCAAAGAGACACTAAGTTGGTTGCAAGTGGCACTTTGATATATACTGTGTTGACCTTTCCCAGATCATATAGGGTGATTATACGCGTGTTGGACTGCAGTTTGGCAGGATCTGCTCAAAAGGCTTTACTGTAATAGCTTTCCTCCTCTTTCAAGCCATCCATTCTGCAATGACACATATAACCTTATGTTCTCCAGAAAGGTGGGCTGGCACTCGCCTGACACACACACACACACACACACACACACACAGTCACACACTACAGCAGAGCAGCTTTACAGGCCCAGTGCACCCAACACACATGGGTATATGTGACAGGAGAAGAGAGAGACGGCACCAGGATGAATTTTTCTATTTCAGAATGTTTTTACTTTTAACCCTCAATCTGATCAGTAAACAGGCAGCTTGCAGCACAAAGATTTGTTGTACTGTATATCATTATACAGCTGAGTAGAGCTGAAACCATTTGTCGATTAGTTGAATGTAAGAAAATTAATGAGCAACAATTTTGATTATTGATTATTTGAGTTATTTTCAAGCCGAAGATCAAAGATCAATCATACAGCTTCACAGTTTGAGGATTTGTAGTTTTTTATGTGACAGTAAATTGATTATTTTTGGATTGTTGATTGGACAAAGCTATTTGTAGACAGCTGTATCAACTCAGGTTCAGAGAAATTGTAACAGACATTATTCATTATTTTCACACATTTTACAATCCAAACCATTAATCGATTTAAATAAAATAATATTTTCAATAACATGGAAAATCAATCAGTTATGTTTTAGAGGGACATTGCCTCAATAACATCTGTGCTTCCAGCCTCTCAAGTATGAGGATTTGTTACTTACTTTGCTACTAAAATTGAGTACTTTGGGGGTTTGGAACTGTTGATTTTACTAAATAAACAATCTAAAGATGTTGCCTTGGGCTGTGGGAAATGTAATGAGGATTTTACACAATTTTCTATTTCCTTGACAATTTGTCAAAATTAATCGATTACTGGAATTGATTGATATTTCAATTTCATCTTACTCCCTGCAAGAAAGCAAGTAAGTGTATTTCCCAAAATGTCAAACCATTCCTTGATTTGTGCAAATAATCAACAGATTAACCAAGAGTTGTTAGCTTAAGTGCTAAAATATTGGTCTATTTTGTCAGAGAGAATGAATCAGTGAGAGATTCTCCAAGCTTAGCCTCCCAAAAATCACCCACATCCCAGCAAGGGGGATAGAAGTCATATATAATAGAATATAATAATAAATATGAACATATGTTGGTAGATTTCTTGTCTTTTCAATTTAAACATTTTATTCTTTTTCAGAAATCAGAAAGACCCTGTTAACTTCTGCCCATGGAGGACCCCAAATCTGAGAGACTACCGTGATTAAACACAGGCTTCTGCTAAACACGACGTCTGTGTATCCTCAAAAATTAGCCTTGTTAAGCAAGTGCAAGTCCACCGGTGTTTATGCACTAACATGTCCCTGCAGGAGATATCACCATAGCAGTAAGTGGCGGGCATTAGAGTACTTACACAGCCTTTCACAATAGAAGCAGCAATGCACCTTTCAAAGCACAATGTTATTGAGGCAGGACACAATATCGTACTACCTACCATCAGTTCAGTGAGCTAGCTATTGGGTTTCAGGGATACTGTAATCGTATACACTTTATCAGGCTTGTTCTGTCACAAGTGTTTTGTTTAAGGGATTTCAAATGGGAGCCGGGGTAGGGGCAGCCTCATTGAGGGCAAGTCAATAAGATGTAACCACAATCCCACAAATATCCGTGAATAGATAAGCGTGTCTAGCCGTATCAAAATACTTGGCACGGTCAGATCCGAGCAAGTTGAAAAGGTTTGATACTTAGAGTCCATCAGATTTCCAGCTTCACAATTGAAACTGGATTATGTAATATTTGTGTAATAAATAAACGTCTCTGACAGTGGAAATTACATGCTGGAAAGCTGCCAAACAAAGCAGATAATTATGATGCTAAAGTCATATTCCCATTTTAAGAGTGGAAAAGTTTTCTTGGAAATCTTGACTTCTGTATATTGTGACTGTTTATAAAAATATATGTAAAACAAAAACTTTCCAGTATGATAATCAGGGTGGATTTAAAAGACATACTGTAACAGCTTGTTAAAATCCCAGCTGCTTAAACAGTAATGAACATCCACTATTTTTCAACTTACCAGAGACTCCTTGAAATGACGTTTTACACTATAATTAGTACAACATGGGCTTTCATTCTCTACTATACAGCAACAATGGTTCCACAACATCCTTATAGTCTTAACAGACAGCATATTATAGTGGATGCATATCTTGTATTCTGTTAATTCTTGGTTACTTTATTGGTGGTCCATTGGTGGTTGATAACTGGTGCATAGTATCTGATACCTCTGTAGTGCCTGCAGCGCTACAATGTACTGTCATCCTTCTCACATGATCTTATAACATCACCTTTAAGTATTTGAAGACCAAGTGGAGGACCCTATATTCTGTAAATATATATATGATCATCATTTAAAGTCCCACTGTTCCTAATTTACTTCATGTCTTGGGTTTAGTTTCCCTCTCAGCAAAACAACCCTGTGATTTTAACGTCAAACAGGATTGTGGAAACTTTCAAGAAAAAAGCTGTTAAAGAAAAGTTTATTTTCCCTTCAGTCATTTGGTCATTTTGGTGTTTTGCTGATGCTCCAAAATTGAGCCAAGTTCAGAACAGTCATGTCAAGGTGGTTCGATGTACCACCTTTTGCTAGTGGTGCCAGCTCAGCCCCTGAAATCAGGTGCAGCATTTTAAAAAGGAAAAGCTCTTATTTAAATGCTGCACCCTCATCAGTGCCTCCTTTTCTTTTCTCTTTAAAAACTTCACAACGACTGCACCTGGAGTAAACGCTGGGGAGCAGAAAACTAAAAGAAATGGTGACTAAATGACTAAATGACTAAAACAACAACATGGTTCAAATGTCTGATAATTGTATTGTATGACCAATAATTTGCCATGTTTAGTCAGATTTCTCAGTTATTTTCCTTTTAAGAGGTGTTAGCACATAGCTTCAACAAGAATCTACTTTTCCTTATTTACCGTCCTCTGCAAGATCCAAACTGTACGGAAAGAATTTGTTCTTTGAGCAGCCAGACAGAACATTCAACTTGTTCATTTATCCACAAAAATTGAATCAACGTACACAACAACAATCTTTCATGCTCAAACACACTTCCCCAGAACACTTATTGTAATGGAGATCTATAATCTACATATTTTAATGATTAGAAATAGGTTTTAAATCCTTTGAATCAAACTGCTTTAAATTTTCCCTCAGCACAACTTTTTCTTCTTCGTTCTTCCTCCTGTCTTTCTCTTTTTTAACACACAGGCCTGCATGCTGGCATGCAGACACATACCAGCACCATATTTTTTAACTTAACCTGACTTTCTCTCCTCTGTATGTTTTCATCAACGTTGTCACTTAGAATCTGTCACCCAATCAACATGCTGGCCCTCTTTATTTTCTTGCTATCATTAGTTCGGCCAGATGTAATAAATCCTAGGATGCTGATGTCTTTACTTCTATTTTTATTACACATATTACATAGACTACACAAATTACACTGTAGGATGCCATAGTATTTTACTGCTGAGTGCAAGACAGCCCTCATCACATACAGCACATACTACTATATAAAGTGAGTTTGGGAGTATGTTTAACACCCTGGCAAGAGCTGCTCACACTGACAGGTACAGGCCTAATGATAATAACCATTAACCATTGTGAAAGAACGGTGTCTGGAAGCCACAATATTAAAATTCCCCCGCTCAGATACCCCTCTGTTCTGTGGAAACAACAGCCGCTTTGTTTCTAATTCAGCTGCCAGGGAGCGTCATTTGAATATTTTCAGTACCCAAAACAACACTGCAACATGGAACAGGTGTGTGTGCGCGTGTGTGATCGCGTTTGTGCGTGCATGTGCGTGCTCGTGCAACCAAACGAAACAAACACCAGGTTAGATAAGAACATATCACGCACTTGGTTACATGTACGGTACTTACATCGGTAAAGCTGCCTAACATTGAATGACGATTCAAAGACCCCCCCCCCACCTTATTATACACACACACACATATAACGCGCGTGCACACCGCACACATAGGCGAATGTGCTCTGTCAAAATCATATGACAGGCGTGGTCATTGAGTGAAAACGTTAAGGCCAGTTTGTTTTTGTCAACAGAGACTAATCACATCCGCTATCGCAGAAGAAAATGTGACAAGAAATCTACCTTATGGAGGTCGATGCGTATCCTCTCCTCTCCTTTATGCGGGCTCTCTGGCCACAGGTGATAGCTGGAGCCGTAGTTGGGGCTGTCTTTGCTGCTGTTGCTGACAGTCGCAGACGAGTTCCCCGCGTATGCCTGTTGTGTTACCGGGGGGGTTACGCGGGAGTCGCGGCTGTGTGGCTGCGCCTGGTCGCCTTGCGCGGAGATCCTCCCAGACTTATTGCGGTCTTGTTCACAGTGCTGCGGACGCTGGGGACAGAGCCCCAGTGCGCCTTGCTGCTGCTGCTGCTGCTGC